GGGGGGGGATTTTACCTCACGGGCTGCGCCTTCGGCCCCGCGCGGAGGTTGGGTCGGACCTGGCTTTTATGTGGCAGAATTTACCTCAGGGGGAGAGATTTAACCCCCAGATGCAGTGCTGGGGGGCGGCGTTGCTTCTTAGGGGAGTTCATTCGCCCCCATTGTAGCTTTGTTTTGTTGGGGACAGCTGGCCTTACGTGAGGTTGGCTGCAGGGTTTATTTCAGAGCCCCTCCGCCCCCATTCCCAGCTCTGGGTTGGGGGGGTGATGGATTTCTGTGAGGTTGAGTGCAATGCTTACCTCAGGAAAGCCCCTCCAGCCCCCACCTATGGCTGTGGAGGGCAGAATGTGCCTCCTCGTGGTGCTGACAGCGGTGGTAACTCAGGGAGAGGCTCCTGACCCCCAAACGCAGCTCTGGACGTGGGGAAACGCCTTTATGTGGCGCTGGGAGCTCCATTTCCCTCGAGGACAGCCCCTGCTGTTGCCATGGGGCAGCTGTGGCTTTCTGTGGGGCTGAGAGTGGATCCCCGTCCCCACCACGTTGGGAGCTATCAGCCCTTTCTCTGCTGCTGAGGTTTGGTGCGGAGCCCCTCGGCTCTTTGCTCACCCTGTTTTTCCTCTGTGTTTCTCAGGTGGTTTCTCCCACCCTGCTGCTGCCATGGAGCAGTTCCCCTTCGGCGATGAGAGCTCTGTGAGCCTGGAGATTCAACTGCTGGGCTTCACGGGGAGCCCCAACCCTGAGCTGAGCCCGCATGGTGCAGCCCCCCCAGATCCATCCAGCACTGAGCTGGAGGATGGCCTGAGCGTGCTGTCCTTGTGCCCAGGCAGGGAGTGGGACGGCGAGGTGCAGCATGGTGAGCCTGGGGGGGTCAGTCAGCAGCTTAATGGGTGAGGGGAGCAGTTAATGGAGGTAGTGTTGATTAGCGGCTTTATATTAATGGAGGAACCAATGAAGTGGGTGTATTGATGGGCAGGTTGGTGTAAGTTGGGGCTCAGCCCCCTGTCCAGAGGAGGAGCTCACACCAAAGAGGTGAAATAGTAACTTTATGTAGGTGGAGGAGCCAATTAAACGAAGGTAGTGTTGATTAGCAGCTTCCTATCGGTAGGAGAAGGGATGATGTGGGGGTATCACAAATTGGTGGCTTCGTGTATGTGGGGGAACCAACCATGTGGAGCTGTTGTTAATTAGCTGGAGAGCTAATTACAAGGAGACACCGTTGGGATGAAGAGCTGCCTTGCCTTTCCCCAAACCACAGCCAGTTTCCCTCAGTTTGAGCTCCCTGCGAAGCTTTTCTGCCTGCAGAGCTCCATCCACACAGACAGCACTGCAGGCAGCCATCATTACAACACCCCTCTGCTGCAGGGGTTTCACTGCTGTCCTCTTCTCTTGAAATTTTCCCCTCGATGGGATTTATTTCTCCCTTTCCCGCAAGTTTTTGCAGCCCTCTCTGTGTCTGGAAAGGAAAAACTTGGAGGCCACAGTGACAGATGTGCTGAACGCATTGTGTCCCCATTACTGCATCCCTGCAGAGGAGGGGAGAAGTTCTGCTTAATTCCCTTCCTGTTTCGTGCTCTCTGTGAGATGGGTGAAGCAGAATAGACTCTTCCTCCACCCACCATTCTCTCCTTGAGGGAACGATGGTTCAGTTGCTGATAAAAGCCCCCACTTTGAGCAGCTGGGAAACAAAACAGATGGGAACCCATTGCTGAGGGCTCTCAAATGGAAAATGAGGCTTTGCTAACGAGCGGGGCTTCCCCTCTCCCTGATTGACCCCTTAGCAGCAGTTTGGTGGCTCTGTCTCTGGGTGGGGGAACTGTGAGTCCTCCAGTGGAGGATAAAACCCTGCAACCAAAGCTGTGGGAGCCGCTCCTCCTCCTCTTCATTCCAAAATAAAAGAGGAAAGGGTGAAATTTGTTACGGAGGGGTTTGGAACAGCGAAGGGTGTTTGTGTCAGCACCCAGGAGGAGGTGGGTTTGTGTTGGGGGGGGGGGAGGCAGCTCCCAGGCTGTGATGGCTGCCCTTATGTAGGTGTGGGGTCCTCCACACGCCCCCACAGATCTGGAGTACTCTGAACACCCCCACAAACCTGTGCTCCCCCAAACCTCACAGATTTGGGTCCTCCACACTTCCCCACATGGACCCTGGAGTCTTCCATGCACCCCCACAGCTCCAGAGTGCTCCAGACCCCACTGTGGATCTCATAGTCCTCCAAACACCTCCATAGTCCTCCAAACCCCACAGATTTGAGTCCTCCACACACCCCACGTGGACCCCAGAGTCCTCCAAAGACCCCACAGACCCAAACACCCCCACACAGCTCCAAGCCTTCCAACCTCCACGCACCCTGGGTCCTCTGACAGTCCCCTTATTAACGAGATACTGGCGAAACGAAGGCAGCTGAAGGACGGGCTGATAACGTAGCGCTGTCTCTTCTTCCTCTGCTCAGGGCTGTGCCTTCCTGGGGTGCCCAACGCAGACCCTGCAGCCACCCAGAGCCGGGCATCGCCTCACAGCTCTCCACTGCCCTCCAGCTGCTGCGGGACGCTGCTGTGCAGCACCAACCACAGCCCGACTGACAGCCAGCAGCACCAACACCCGTACGTGGGGCACGGCGGGTGGTTGGGGTGTGTTTGTCACACAGCTGGGCTGCTGTGGGTGTTGTTTTCCCTCCCGGCTGGTGGTGGTGCCAGGCCAGGAGGTGTGGCTGCGTTGGGTTACAGCCCCGCTTCCTTCAGTGCGTGGAAGCGCGGTTCTGAGGGCTGAGCTGGAGCAAATCTGGGGAGGCTTTGGGTCCGTGTTGTGTTGGGGTGTAGTCGGGTTGTGCTGCTTCCACAGCAGCAAAGGGCGGTGCTGTGTCCCAAATAAAGCCCAGATCTCTGGGGTTTGTGCCCTGTGCCACGTCTGCCCCTCAAACAACACCGTGCCACGAACAGCGGGAGCTCAGGGGCTGCGCTTTGGGTGCAGAGTGCTTTCATTTCCCATTTGCATATCGCTGTTCCTCTGTCCCACAGGAGCAGGAAAAGGAAAGGCTTGGTGTGCCCGGAGCAGCGCTGTGAGCTGCAGCCCCTGCGGTGCCCGCAGGGCATGGGCTGTTCATCCTGCAGCCTGGTGGAGGACAGCAGTGTGCCGGAGGAATGCCCGGAGATCCCTGCCACTGCTCCTGGAGATGGGCTGAGCGGCAGCGCGGCTCCCAGCCCCGCTCTCCTGCAGCCCACAGGGCTGAGTGCTGCTCCCAGCCCCGCTCTCCTGCAGCCCACAGGGCTGAGTGCTGCTCCCAGCCCTGCTCTCCTGCAGCCCACAGGGCTGGATGCTGACCCTGGCACTGCTGGACTGCATTTCGCAGTGCTCAGAGCGCAGCAAGCGGCCGTCAGCTCCCACCCCTGGCTCAGCACCGCGCCGCTCTGTGCCCAAAGGAGCAGCTGCTGTTTCACACTCAAACCCAGCCCTGCTGGAAGGGAAGCCCCCCTCTCCTGCTCCTTCCTCTCCGAGTGCACGGACGCTTTGCCTTTCCCTCTGGTGAGCCCAGCTGTGGAGGAGGTGGTGCTGGGCCGCCCCGAGGACGGCACGCAGCCGTGGCAGAGCGTCGTGGAGCAGCAGGCAGCGCTGAGTGGTGGTGGGCAGCTGAGAGCCGCCGGCACGGAGCCGGGGACGCGGAACCTCCTGCAGGTGTTGGCCGCCTCCCAGCACGCCCTGTCCCACGTGTTGGCACCCAAAGGGCCGAAGGATTCCTCTCTCTGTGCCCGAGAGCGTGAGAGCAGCATGGCCACGGATCGGCTGCAAAGCGAGGCTGCCTCCAGCAAGGGGGAGAAGAGCAGAGGCGGCGGTGCGGCTGCAGGCAGGTCGTGGCGTTTGCCTGCTGCACGCAGGGAGAAGCTGTCGGCAGGGCTGGTGGGCACGGCGTCCCCCAGCCAGGTGGCCATGGCCTCCTTTGCACCGCGCCAGCAGTGCGGGCTGCCCGTCCTGCACCGCGTCCAGGTGTGTGGGACAGAGGGGGAGCAGTGGGAGCCCTTGGGGTGCAGGTGGTGCCATCAGTGCCTCCCTGCTGTTGGTGCTCCGGGTCTGGACACCTACTTGTGGACCTGGTGTAGGGAACCTGCTTTGGCAGCGGGGTTGGACTCGATGATCTCTGGAGGTCCCTTCCAACCCCTACGATTCTGTGATGCTGTGTCAGGGTGACCACAGCCCGGTTGTGTGTCTGCGCTGTGCAGCTGGGAATGGTTTGGTGTCTTGTGTGAGCTGGGAGAGGGTTGGTGGTGTTGGTTAAGGAGTGTTGGCTGCTGAGGGATGCAGTGACGGCGTTGGGGTGATGACACCTCGCTCTGACTGTTGTTTCTTCACCCCCAGGGGGGAAACATCTGCAGCTTCCCAGGCACGGCGCAGGAGGACGGCGCGTTGGCCACGAGGTGAGCAGTTGTGCTGACCTCAGGGTTTCCTTTCAGTTCCTGGAGAGCTCTCAGCGGCTCCCCATAATGAGGCCTTGTCATCTGGTTGGCTGTGTGTTGTGCTAATTAGTAGGGGTGTAAATGAGAACCAGAAGGACCTCAGTTCTGCCTCACATTGCGTGGCCAAATGACCCAAGAGGTTCCCCTCCGCCCCAGCTCTAGCAGGGGAGACGCAGGCCTGCACTGAACAACACACTATGAGCCAAACGTTTCTTTTCTAAAGGAAACGGTGCTGATTTTCCCTCTCTTTATCTCCATGTTTCCCTCCTAGTGCTAAGAGCAGCGCTGCTCCCACCAACAGCAGCGACCGCGACGGTGTTTTTCTATGCAAGAGCTGCCAGCAGGTGTTCTACACCCAGAAGGGCCTGGACAGCCACATGTGCTTCCGTGACGAGCAGTGGCTGCTGCCCCAGCGGAGAGAGGAGCCGCAGGTGAAGGGAAAGCAGAGGGGTTGGGGCGCTCGGAAAGCAAAGGTGGTGCACAGGGGTGGGAGCGGAGCCGTCCCCAATCCCAGCCCTTCCCCCAGGGTGCTGTGTGACACCCGGGTCCCTCCGTGCTGTTCAGGGCTGTGCTGCAGATGCTGGATCCGCTGCGAGGCTGGAGCTGCAGGAGGAGCCCTGTGAGGCTGGAGCTGCGCTTCTCATCCCCGTCTCAGTGCCGGTGCTGCCTGGGGGTGAGGTGGGTGAGAGCTGAACCAGCAGGCCTTGCTCCTCCGGGCGTTGAGCTCCGCTTCTGTCTCCCAAATTGTGTTGAAATAACGTTAAACCGAGGGATCTGCTGGCAGTCAGTGCAGCAGTAGGCCTGTAAAGGTGATTCATCAGAGATGCGTGAGGATAACGGGTGATGCGGGGACGTCAGTGGGGCAGTGCAATGCACCAAGTGAAATACTTTGTGCTTTTGAGGTTTCAGAATTTGTTTTTTGCCCCAGAATTGGGGGTGGTTCCCAGCAGGGTTGGGATGAGTGTGTGTGAGCACCGGGCCCCAACCAGGGAATCTTTGGTGCTGGGAATAATGCGCTGTAGCAGAGCAGCACCAGGTGGAGTCCCCATGCAACGCCAGCCTGCTTCCTCAGCTCATGCTGCTGCTTTCCTATGAGAAAACAGGAATCTGTTTGGAATCCTTTGTCCAGGTGACCCCCAAGGAGAGCCAGGATGGGAAGAGCCCCCGCGTCAGCTCGCACCCGAAGAAGAGGAAGCGGCAGATTCTCCCCAAACCCCTCTTCATCCCCCCCCCGCCTCCCCCCGAGGCGCAGCCCGGCCCTGGGGGCTGCTACCGCAGCAACCTGCGCTCCCCAGTGCTGCTGATGGACCGCCTGCTGCGGGACCTGCTGCAGTGCTCACCCTACACCCCCCCACCCATGCTCAGCCCCATCCGCGAGGGCTCGGGGCTCTACTTCAACGCCATCTGCTCGTCCACTGCTGCAGAGCCTTGTCGGCTCTTGGGCAGCGTGCTGGGTAAGGATCAGTGCACCAGAACAGCCCCCAAATGGCACTGCAGCACCCACGGGTCGGGGGCAGCTTCCTCTGTGCTCTGTGCTCTGCCTCCTGTGGGGCTTCGGGGGCTGCAGTGTGGTGAGAACTGGCCCTGCTGCCCCCAGCTCTGAGCACTGCTTTTGAAGGGCTTTCAGATGTGAGTCCCAGCTGTTAATCCCTGCTGTGGGCTGTGGAATCTGTGGGGTTTTGAGGAGCGAAAGGCAATGTCTGAGTTAATTAGGGGCTGCTCGTTCCCTGCTTGGCTTTCTGGCCTGGCTGATGGTGGGTGGTTCCTGGGCATTCCCTGCGATGAGGGAACTCTGGGAAAGGAGTGGTGAGCTGAAGTGGGAATAGAAATGGAGCGAAGTCCTGGCAGGGCTGTGCTCATCCTGGTGGTTTTCACACCTTTCAGACAGAATGGACCAAGACTTCGGGCTGTGCCTCATGAAGGATGGCACCAAAATCAGCATTGAGCCGTGAGTTACAACGCAGAGCCATGGGAAATGATTGGGAAACGCACCCTGAGTGTGGCTGCCCTTCTTCCCCAGCCCCACTGCGGCCCCATCGCCCTCCCCATGCCCTGCTCTGCAGCTCAAGGCAGCAGACTGTCCCTTTTTCTCTGTTTATGGGATGCATCCACTCCAGCTCACTCTCCCCCCCCCCATTTCTCCTTCAGCCACATCAACGTTGGGAGCCGCTTTCAGGCTGAGATCCCGACCCTCCAGGACAGATCACGCTTAGGAAACGCTGAGCACGCAGCCTTGGTGTGGAAGCCGTGGGGAGACATCGCAACCAACGAGGAAACGCAGGACAGAGGTTGCTTCATCCTTTGCCTTCAGGACCTTGGAGGTCCTGTGGTTGAAAAGGCTTTCACTGCAGCTTTCTGCACGCCCCGATCCTCTGCCTTGTTCCTCTGTGCTCTGTTCCATCAGAGGCAGAAGGGGCTGGGGGGCCGGAGCTGTGGGATGTGAGTGGCTGTGCCCCCCCAGGAGGGGCTGCAGGAGAGGGCTGGCTTGGTGGGAGCCCACAGCAGTGCCCCTCACCTCTCTTTTCTGGTGCCTGCTTTGTTTCTGTGCTTGGATTCACTTGCATTTCCATTGCCTTGCAGTGATGGAGCTGCTGAACATGGCGTGCTCCAGCGTCATGCCGGGCGGGGGGACCAACCTGGAGCTGGCCCTGCACTGCCTGCACGAAGCGCGGGGCAACGTGGTGGTAAGGAGCTGCTGCTGGGCCGTAATTAACAGCGCCACAATTAATCCTTCCTGGTGGGAGCTGAGAGTTGAGGCTCAGGTGGGCCCACGAGCTGCTGGAAATGTGGAATCCTTCGGGCTGAGGCGGTGGCGGAGCACGGATGGAGCACAGATCCATTCCCTGCACTGGAGGGCACTGCAGCAGCACGGAGCTGCAAGCAGAAAGCACAAAGCATTCCACTTCTGCTTCTCCTGCCATCTGAAGCCCATCTCCCCCGCCTGCAGGACGCTCTGGAGCTGCTGCTGTTTGGCTGGCCGCACAAATCCCAGTCCCATCCTCTCGCTAATTACCGTTACACAGGTAATGAGCTCAGAGAGGTGCAGAGGTGTGAGCAGTCAAACCGCCCCATTCCCTTCAGTGCTGTGCTGCTCTTTGTCACCAGGCTCGGATGTGTGGACGCCCGTGGAGAGGCAGCTCTTCAAAAACGCCTTTCATGCCCACAAGAAGGATTTCTACCTGATCCAGAAGAAGGTGAAACCTGGAGGCTGAGGGTGGGGTGGTGGTAGCAGGGGAGGGTCGGGTGTTTCCCTGCAGTTTCCCATAGAGATCACTGCAGTTCCTCCCGCTCAGGTCCAGACGAAGAACGTGTCCCAGTGTGTGGAGTATTACTACATCTGGAAAAAGATCATCAAGTTTGACCACAGCCGGCCTCAAAACGCAGACAAAAAGGTCAAGAGGGACAGCAGTGAGGCGGAGGAGGCCGAGGAAAAGGTAGAAAACTGCTCTGTGTTTTGATGAGCTCCTTCTGCAGCGTCTTGGGAGCGAAGTGCTGCTCTGCAGCTCGGTGTGAGCACACGCACAGCAGGCGTTTCCTCCCCGGTTTTTCCCACCCGCTGCACTCAGCCCTTCTGCAGGCACAGAGCTAACCACTGCTGTCTGACCTGCAGCCCCTCTGCCCCCCGAAGAAGAGGCACTGCCTTCTGCTCAGCGAGAGCAGCAAGAAGAGCTGCAGGAAGACACCCCACAGTGCGGGCAGCCCCTCCTGCAGCCCAGGCCGAGCTCCCGGTGCTGTGGAGCATCACAACGTGTTCCCCTGCACCGAGTGTGAGAGGTAGAGCTGAGCGTCCGGCCCCGTCCTGACGGCCCGTTGCTTTGGGCTGCTGCTTTACACCCCTCCTGGGAGCAGGATTGTGCCCATCCTGGGCCTGCTCAGTTCTGTGTTCTCTGAGCGTCTCAATCTTAACCCACGTGGGTGGAAGTCACGACGCTGGGTTTAGTGGCTTTCATCTAATTAAGACAGGAATTCATTAACACCCCTCCCCCGTTTTGTTTTCCAGGGTGTTTGACAAGATCAAAGGTCGCAATGCTCACATGAAGCGCCATCGGCCGCAGCACCGCACGCTGCCTCTCCTGGAGGCCCAGTGGGCCCTGGAACCCCTCAAAAGAGAGGAGGCCGCAGTGGGGGGGGCCCTGAGCAGCAGCTGGGGGGCTGTGCCCCCCCAGTAACCCCAGGTGGGTTCTCTCCTGAGCACCGCCCTCACAGGAGAGGCACAGCAGAGGATGTTTGGCACCCGCAGGAAAAGCTTGAAGAAGCGTTGGAAGCAGTTTTGGGGCTCTGCTGGCGTTCGGCACCGGCGGTGGCTGCGGGGTGCGATGGGGGCTGTGAGGGCAGCGGGGTTGGGTTGGGTTGGGGGCTGACTGGTGCTTACAGCAGGCGGAGGAAGTGCTGCACAGTGGGGCTGTCGGCTCCCTTCAGCCCTCGCCTCCATTTTGGATGGAAGTTTGGCTCCCAGCGGCGGGGTTTGGTGGCTGTGGGGCGCAGATGGGGGGTGGGTGCTGTTAATTCCCCATTCTGCCACGGAGCGCCACGCTGCGCAGCGTTTCACACCAAAACTCCTTCCTTTCTCACCCGTTTTCTACCAAAACTCCTTCCTTTCTCGCCCGTTTTCTACCCAACTTCTTGCATTGGGTTCTGGGGCAGCAGAAGTTCTGCGCTGCTCTGGCTGGTTGTCTGAAAGCAATTAAACGGTTAATTAAAGCGACGGTGGCGGCGGGCGCTGCTGTTCGGCATAACGCTGCGTCCGGGTGTCTGTCCTTGCTCTAATTAGTGCTCATTAGCATCAGTAACGTCTCTCATACAGCGCTTTAGGGTGGGAGAAGCGACGTTTTGATGGGTTGGATGGATAAAACGTAATGAAGGGGTTTTTCCTTGGCAGGAGGGATGCGGGGCTGCTGCTGATGGCCGCAATTCTCACTGCTTTGTTTTGAGACCATTTTGGGATTGGTCTCCATTGCGGTTCGGTTCTCTCCCCCAGAGGGTCAAATTTTGTCTGTGGGCTTTGAGAATTGCTTTGCCCAAAGCAGAAGTTGGCTTTGCAGAGCGGCAGAGCCCTTTCCCTTCCTATCAGGTGGGTTCTTGTGTTCGAGGAGCACTCAGCAACGCTTCCTCCAGCCCTCAGCTGGGACAGCGGGGGAAGCTCATCTGCCTCCTGGATGTGAGCAGAGCACCGCACACAGCCCTCCAGCCAGCCGCACAGCCCCAGCAGCGCCTTGGGAGCAGCTCTGGAGGAACCCCAGCAGCTCCCAGCCCAGAAGGAGCCCTCAGTGCTGCAGAACAGCAGAGCAGCGCCGGCGTTTGGAGCCCCAGCAGCGCCGGAGCCTCAGTGGTACCAAAAATCTCCACTTCCCACCTCGCGGTGCGCGCTCCGGGCTCTGCCGCAGTGACACAGCCGTGTGGGTGTGAAGGAGGGGAGCAGCGCCGACTGAGCCCACGGCAGCACTCAGCACGGATTCCCCCTCCTTGTCTCCACCAGACGGGAGTTGTGATGCAGGAATAGGATGTGATGGAGATGCTCGGGTTCCAGCGCGGCGCGCCGGTGCTGCAAGGCGCTTTGGCTGCCGGCGAAAGCGCGCCGGGGCGGCACGGCGGTGGCGGGCACAGCCAAATACTGCCGGCTCAGCCGGGCCACGGCGGGGAAGCGGTGCTCGTTCTGCTTCCACCAGCTCAGCGGGTCGGTGCTGCGCCTGCAGAGTGGCTCCACCATGTAGTTCTCCAGCTGCTGCTGGATCTCGGGCATGCTCTCGGTCGGGTCCTTCCCCAGCAGGATGTCGTACACGCTCTGCTCTTTGGCACCCGCTTCCCCGCTCACTGCTGTGCGCTCTGAGCTCGGCACCTGGCTGCGTGCGGGCTGGGGGGGCTGAGGGCCCGCAGCATTTGACAGCACGTCCTTCACCTTCCTGTGCAGCGCGCTCCTCAGCTCGGGGCTGAGGAATCTCAGCTCTTTGAAACGCGGGTCGAGGAAGGCGGCGATGACGGCCGGGTTCTCCAGCAGCTCCTCGTCCTCCGCCACCCCCCAGCGCCGCGCCAGCTCCGCTCGGATGTTCCCCACCACCTCCTGGATGACGGCTCCGGCCTCCTCCGCTTGCTGCTTGATGGCGGCCGCCAGGCCGTGCACGCAGGGCAGCAGTGCCGAGATGGATCCGTTCTGCTCCTCGCACAGGAAGGACGCGGCCAGCTTGGCGGTGCGCAGCACGGGCAGCAGATCCTGCAGCAGCTTCCACTGCTGCTCCGCCAGGCCGCGTGCAGCCGCCGCGCCGCGGGGCTGCTCCTCCAGCACCGCCATCACCGCCCACTTCAGCTCCAGGAGGCTCTCGCACATTTCGGCGGTGCTCAGCCACTGCGAGCCCACGTCCATCACCAGCTTCCCTTGGGCCTTGTGGATGGCCTCCAGCTTGCGGCCCAGCACCGCGGCCGCCTCGGCGTCCCGCTGGAAATGACCCACCAGGCCCCGCGCTGCGCTCAGCGCCTCCTGCACCCGCTGCACCCGCAGCCCCGCGGCCACGCACTGCTGCAAGGTGCGAGCCGCGCAGCGCAGCACCCGCCAGCCCGGCCCTGCGGAGCACCCGGCGACGCCGTCGTGCACCACGCAGAACACCGACCCGCCGTCCAGCCCGAACTCCTCCAGCGTGGCACGCAGCCTCTCCTCCAAAGCGCCGCCGTCGTCGTCCTGCCGCGTCTCCAGCACGCACTGCAGCCGCTGCCACTGCGCGTCGACGAAGCTGGCGGTGACGGTGACATAAGCACGGCCCGGCTGGGACACCCAGAGCTCAGCACACAGCACCACGCTCTGTGCTGCCTGCAGGCAGCGCTCCAGGTGTCGCTTGGTGACGCTGTATCTGTCCTGCAGCATGCCAGACAGCCGTGCCGGCGACGGGAGGCTGAAACCGGGCTCCAGGTAACCCAGGAGGAGCCGCAAGCCTTCGTCCTTCACCACGGAGAGGGGGTGCAGGTCACGGAGGACCATCTCGAGCAGCAGCTCCGTGATGGCGTCGCTCCGGGGCTCCCCGTGGCTCGCAGAGCTCTCCGGCGTGGCCGGCCGTGGCCGTTTCCCCGCAGGCTCCGGTCCATCGGGCTCTGGGATCGGCTCCTCCCGCAGCTGAGCCGCCGGCGCCTCGCGGATGCTGTGCTTCCTCACCAGGTGCTCCCGCATGGTGGTGGTGCTGTTGTGGAAGGAGAGCTGCTTCCTGCACACGTTGCACTCCACGTAAGCGTCGCCCAGTTTGGTGTAGTAGTTCCACACTTTGGATTTGCGGCGGTCGGGGCCGTCGTGCGCTGCGCCCTTCTCCCGTCGCCTCCTCAACGCCGTGCTGAACACCACCGAGATTTCCTCTGCGGAGGAACACAGAGCTGTGTGAGCCAAGGGACGCGGCCTGGGCCTCCATCCGCCCCTTCGGTGCTGTGAACGGGGGGTGGGAAGCGCGTTGCTGGGGGGCTGCGGTGTTGGGTGTTGGGGGCTGCTGTTGGGATGCTGTGCTGCTGTTGGGTGTTGGTGCTGGGGGGCTGCTGCTGGGATGGTGTTGAGTTGGGTGTTGGTGTTGTTGTGCTGCTCTTTTGGGGTGCTGTGGTGTTGGGTGTTGGTGTGCTGTTGTGTTGGGTGTTGCTGTTGTGCTGCTTTTTTGGGATGCTGTTGCACTGGGTGTTGGTGTGCTGTTGTGTTGGGTGTTGGTGTTGTGCTGCTCTTTTGGGGTGCTGTTGCGTTGGGTGTTGCTGTTGTTGTGCTGCTTTTTTGGGATGCTGTTGCGCTGGGTGTTGGTGTTGTGCTGCTCTTTTGGGGTGCTGTTGCGTTGGGTGTTGGTGTTGTGCTGCTCTTTTGGGGTGCTGTGGTGTTGGGTGTTGCTGTTGTTGTGCTGCTTTTTTGGGATGCTGTTGCGCTGGGTGTTGGTGTGCTGTTGCGCTGGGTGTTGGTGTTGTGCTGCTCTTTTGGGGTGCTGTGGTGTTGGGTGTTGCTGTTGTGCTGCTCTTTTGGGGTGCTGTTGTGTTGGGTGTTGGTGTTGGGGTGTTGAGGGCCTGTGGTGGTGGGAGGCTGCTCTTTTGGGATGCTCTGTGTTGGGTGTTGGTGTTGGGGGGCTGCTGTTTTGGGATGCTGTTGCGCTGGATGCTGCTGTAAGGGTGCTGTTGTGTTGGGTGTTGGTCTGCTTTGTCTCTCAGCCTCCCCTCCATCCCAAGAGGGGATCAATCCCTTTGCAGAGGGACAGAAGCGCTCCTCCATGTATGGACAGGAGATCCCCAGGCAGCTGACGTGGATTCCCCACGAGGAGGTGACCCCACGGTGAGATCCCAGTGTGGGGCAGAAGGAAACGCGGTGCTGTGGGGTTAAAGCAGGCACCCACCTTGCAGGCTGTGCGGGTGGGACGCGGCGCTGAGTGGCGGGGGCTGCTCCTCCACCCCCTCCTCCTTGGGCTGTGGCTCAGCCCCGCCGTCCTCGGCTTTGATTTGGGGTCGGGGGGGTTGGGGGACCTTCCCGGCGCTGCCGTCCTCCATGGCGCCCTGCGGGAGGTGGGAGAAGGGAGGCAAGGGGTTACGGAGTGAGCAGGCGTGATTAGTTGGTAATTAACAGCACCGTGCTGCTCACGGGATTGCGGCCAGCCGCCTCAAAGCTCAGAGGCGGCGTGAAGGGAAGGCAGGACGTGATCTGCTGGGCTGCGGGGCTGGGCTGCCACCGAGGGTCGGGATTCCTGCCTGGGATTCCTGCCTGGGATTCCTGCCTGGGATTCCTGCCTGGGATTCCTGCCTGGGAATCCGCCCGGCTTGCTCTGGGCTGCCTTTGCGAATCCATGCGGATCTGCCTGGAATTCCCCCAGCTTCCCCCCCTTACCCCCATCTCCCCCCCCTCCCAGATAACCCTGGGTTCCCAGATGACCCTGAGACCCCCTTGGGACCCCCCCACCCCGTTCCCCCCGCAGCTCGCTGGGACTCACGCCTTGGCGAACTGCAGCGTTCCCCTTTCACCTGGAAGTAAAACACACACGGAAGGGTTCCTCTCAAAGCTTCCCACTGGGAAGGCGGCGGCCGCCGCGCAGCCAATTAACGGGCAGAGCCAATTAACGGGGACGGCATAACGAGGGCGGGTCGGCTGAATGGATTTCTGCCCGAGTGTCAGCCCTCCCTCGTTACCCCCCTCGTTACCAGCGGGAGCCGCGGAGCGCGCTGCTGTGAGGTCAGACCCCGTGCTGCCATGACGTCATCGCGGCGGTGATGACGTCATCGATGGTGTCATCGCGGGGCGGTGACGTCATCGGCGCGACGTCGCCGCGTCCCTCCCGCCGCCCGGGGGCGCTGTCTCCCCTCTCAC